ACAGCAGGATTATCACCTCTCTCATTAGTGGGACATTTGTTGTTCAGTCATTTAGTTGTATTGGAATCTTTGTGATCTCGTACACCCATACTGTCCATGGGGTTTTCTTGGCAAGGATACTAGAGTGGCTTCCCATTTCCTTCTATGGGGACACTAAATTTTAATTAATGCAGCTTTTGGGATAGACCATACTGTGATGCTGTACAAATAATATATATTATAGTAAAAAACGATGATTACTTAAAAGAAAATAAATGTGACCAAGCAAACCCACAGTTTGGCAGTTGTCAGTGGTACAAGACAGTTAAAAAACCAGTCAGAAGGCTTCCAGCATCTACAGGAAATAGGTATTAGGGTCTAAGTGCTGCAGCAGAATGACAGGAAGGTTAGGCTAGCAGGCTGGCTGATCCTGGAGGGAGGGAGGGAGAAGGGGAGGAAAGGAGTAGGAAAAGGAGGAGAACAGAATGGACAGATACAGGAAGGCTGGGAGCTCACGATAAGAAAAGCTCCAAAAGAAATGCTTGCTGTTTAGAGCCCAGGGAATGGGGGTGACCAAATTCTGCTGCATTGCCATGGTTGCTCTGAAAAAACCAAACAACTAAAACGTGGTTCCAAGATAAGGAATTTATAGTGGATTTGAAAGGCAGTATTGTGTACTGGACTTGGAGTCAGTCAAGACATCTGAATCCTGATGGGCATCTCCCCTGTTCTCCCTGAGCCTTGTTTTCCTCATTTGTAAAAATGGAGGTGATAGTACTTGAAATACCCACCCCATTGGCTTATTAGTTTTGTTTGTTTGTTTATTTGTTTTTGGAGACAATTAGGATTAAGTGACTTGCCCAGGGTCCGGCAGCTAGTAAGCTTCTGAGATTGGATTTGAATTCAGGTCCTCCAGACTCCAGGGCTGTTGCTCTCTCCACTGTGCAATCTAGCTGCCCCTTTGATTTTATATTCTACTGTGTGACTTTGGGTAAGTCAATTCCCCCTCAATTTTTTTTTAGCTGTAAAATAATCTGAACTATCTACCTTACAGCTAGGATGTGCAATGGATAGATTGCTGGGCCTAGAATGAGGAAGACTCATCTTCTTGAGTTCAAATCTGCCTTCAGACACTCTTACTACCTGTGTAAGGAAGTCACTCAACTCTCTTTGCCTCAGTTCCTCATCTGCAAAATGAGCTGGAGAAGGAAGTGGCAAACCACTCCAGTATCTTTGCCAAGAAAATCCCAACGGGGGTCACAAAGAGTAGGGCATGACTGAACAACCACCTTACAAGGTTGTCATAAAGACAGTAGGTTGTAGGGAGCAGTTAGGTGGCTGCTAGGTGGCACAATGGATAGAGTACCAGCCCTGGAGTCAGGAGGACCTGAGTGCAAATCCGGCTTCAGACTAAACACTTGACCGTACTAGCTGTGTGACCCTGGGCAAGTCACTTAACCCCATTGCCTAGCAAAAAAGAAAAAAAGAGAGTAGGTTGTGAACCTTAAAGGGTTAGATGTAAAATACAATCAGGGAGTAGGATATGAAAGGGTAAATAGAAACTCTAATTGTGTAGTATATAAAAGAGGTTTCTATATTTTTAAAAAAGTTTATTAAGGAAGTTCAGGATCAATTTGATGAGTATCTTCTCATTCACCCGTTTAATCAACTTGATGAGATTAGAGGGAATGTGTCTTTGTCTAAATATAACTTTCATGAACCTAAAGTTTTAAAAACATATGTTTAAAAAAAGTTTTCACATGCTACTGGGAAATAAGAAATATAGGAAATGGGGTACAGAAGTCTATCCTGTCCTACAGGAAAATAGAAGGGGAAGGGGATAAGAGAAGGGAGGGGGGAGAGATAGAAGAGAAGGCAGACCAGGGGAAGGGGTATTCAGAATGCATGCCATCTTGGGGTGGGGGGAGGGAGGAAATGGGGTGAAAATTTGGAATTCAAAAACTTGTGGGAGTGAATGTTGAGAACTCAAAATAAATAAATTATTATTAAAAAAATTAAAAAAAAAAACTTTCATGAAGGTAAATCTTATTCTGGGGACACAGAGAGCTCCTCTAATTGGTTGCCATGATTGGACTGACTCCAAGATAGCAAGTCAGGAATTCTCAAACTTTTTGGCCTCATGATCCCTTCACATTTTTAAAAAGTTGTTGAGGACCCCAAAAAGCTTTTGCTTATCTGGGTTATAACTTTATATTTATTGTATTACAAATTAAAACTGATAAAAATTGTACATACTTATTTATTAGTTCATTTAAAATATTTATTAATCCATTTAAAAACAATAGCAAATCCATTACATGTTGACATATTTTAATGAAATATATACATTTTCCAAAACAAGAAAAATTATTGAGAAGAGTGGTATTGTTTTACATATCTTTGCATATCTCTTTAATGTCTAGCTTAATAGAAGACAGCAGGATTGTCACATCTGCTACTGCATTCAATCTATTGAGATGTGTTGCTGTGTGGTTGAAATGTATGAAGAAAATCTGGCCTTACACAGATAGATACTTGGAAAAGGGAGAAGTATTTAAATAAGCAAATATTGTCTTATTATTATTAAGAAAATAGTTTTGACTTTGTGGACCCTCTGAAAGGTTGAGACTCTCACCGGTCCTTGGACCACACTTTGAGAACCCCTGTAAACTTCTGCTCCCCCTTCCCAGAGCCAATGGAGAAGGTCTTGTTGGAAGAACAATCCAACATTATGGCTACACAAGCTGGACACTGACCCAATTCTGTTCTAGTGCATGCTGGGGAATTTTCCTTTCCTATTGGCTTTGGTGGAACTCCTCTGTGGTCAGGACTTTCCCCAGCCATTCCAGCAATTCCTATCTGAGGTGGGAAGGGTGAGTTGTAGGGCTAAGTGATCCCCACCTACCCTGGCCCAGGGCCTTGTCTCAGGATCAGTCTCACCTTCAGAACTGGGAGGATAGAGTAATACCTCAGCTAGGCAAGGGCGGGAAGGGAGTGTGCTCTTTGGAGAAGAGGACCACCAACGTGACTCTTACCAATGGAAAATTCCAGCCAAGTTAGAAGGAAAAGGGAGAAGTAGAATGGCACCTTTCTCCATGATATTACTATGAGTTGCTCACCGAGTGCAGATGGCAAGTGAATAGAGTAATTTTTTAAATTTTTAAAAATTATTTTGATTTATCAACAATCACTTCCATAAGCTTTTGAGTTTTAAATTTTTCTCCCCTTCCCTCTCCACCTCTCTCCCCAAGATGGCAAGCAATCTGATGTAGGCTATACATATACATTCCTATTAAATATATTTTCACATTAGTGATGTTGTAAGAATTAGAACCAATAGGAGAAATCACCGGAAAGAGGAAACAAAACACAACAGAAGAAAAAAAAAAGTAAATAGTATACTTTGATCTGCATTCACACTCCATAGTTCTTTCTTTGGATGTGGATGGTATTTTCCATTATGAGGCCTTTGGTGATGTCTCAGATCCTTGCATTGCTGAGAAGAACTAAGTCTATCAATAGTAGTCATTGCACAGTGTTCTGCTTCTGCTCACTTCAGTCAGCATCAAACCATACAAGTCTTTCCAGGTTTATCTGAAGTCTGCCTGTTCATCATTTCTTATAGCACAATAGTATTCCATTACATTCACACATCACATTCACAATTGTGATTACTATCTGTCTTTCTCCCTATCCTTTCCCTCCCCTTTATGCTTTTCTTTTTCCTTTCTCCTTTTCCTGCCTCACTAGTGTTTTGCTTTTGACCACTGTCTCCCTCAGTCCTGCCTCCCTTCTATTAGCCCCCATCCCTTTCCTTCCCCTTCCTCTTACTACTTCTTCCCCTCCCTTCTATCTCCCTTCCCTTTTCTTTCCCCTTTCCCCCTCCTACTGCCCATAGGGCAAGTTAGATTTCTTTCTTTCTTTCTTTCTTTCTTTCTTTCTTTCTTTCTTTCTTTCTTTCTTTCTTTCTTTCTTTCTTTCTTTCTTTCTTTCTTTCTTTCTTTCTTTCTTTCTTTCTTTCTTTCTTTCTTTCTTTCTTTCTTTCTTTCTTTCTTTCTTTCTTTCTTTCTTTCTTTGCTTTTTGATGAGGCAATTGGGATTAAGTGACTTGTCCAGGATCACACAGCTAGCGTCAAGTGTCTGAGGCCAGATTTGAACTCAGGTCCTCCTGACTCCAAGGCCAGAGGTCTATCAAGGCTCACCACCTAGCTGCCCCTGCAAGTTAGAGTTCTATACCTGATTATGTTATTCCCTTCTTGAGCCAAATCTGATGGGAGTAAGGCTCAAACAATGCTCACCCCCCTCTCTTCTTTCCCTGTGCTATAACAGGTTTTTGTGTCTTTTCCTGTAATTTACCCTTGTCTGTCTCCTCTTTTACTTTTCTCTCAGTACATTTTCTTAGATCAGATTAATTCACTTACTTGGATCCATTTAACCCACTTGATTAGATTTTTTTCATCATTATATCAAAGTCAATTTATACCCACCCCCTTCATGTATACTCCTTTAACATGGTATAATAACAATACCGTTCTCAAGAGTTACAAGTGTCATCTTCCCAGTTTGCCTTTATTAATAACATGTTGTTTCTTTCTGTCCCATTTACCTTTTTATGTCTCTCTTGAGTCTTGTATTTGAAGATCAAATTTTCTGTTGAGCTCTGGTCTTTTTATCAGGAAGGTTTGGAAGTCTCCTATTAAGTTCAACATCCATCTCCACCCCTGAAAGATCATGCTCCTTTTCGATAGGTAGTTGATCCTTGGTTGTAATCCAAGCTCTTTTGCCTTACTAAATATCATATTCCATAGACAGTAATTTTTAAATAGTATCTTAATTTTCCATGGGGAGCCTAATGAATCTAATGGGCTATTCCCATGATGCATGTTTCTGTATTTGTTTTTGTTGTTCATTCTTCTTGACTCTTAGTGACTCCATTTCTTGGCAAAGATACTGAAGTGGTTTACCATTTTCTTCTCCAGCTCATTTTACAGATGAGGAGACTGATAAACAAGGTTAAGTGACTTGCCCACAGTCATACAGCTAGTAAGTGTCTGAGGTCAAATTTGAACTCAGGTCTTTCTGACTCCCATGTTCTATCTACTGCACCACACCACTTAGCTGCTCTTCTGTATTTGTTTAGGGGCTCCATTTTCTATGGTAGGTGAAATAAAAGTAGTGCAATACCTAGTATCCATATGGTGCATTCAGTATCTTTTTGAAGAGTTGAGAACTCAATCACCCACATTTGGGGAAGCCTAGACAGGAACTTACACCTAAGCTCTATTTTTGAAGATTTTACAGGACTAACCCAGGGTAGGGGCAATGAGCCTAAGCAGAGACACTGACCCTTTGGAGTCAAACCCCGGGGGATCTAGCTGTCCCTATGAGTCCCGGGTTCTTGGGGAAAAAGGGTGTTGGAAGCTAGCCCCAGCAGGGCAATGGAAATAACACTAGACTGGGTGTCAGGAGATCTGGGTTCTAATTGTATTATAACCTTTCCCATTCTGGGCCTTGGTTTCCTCCTATGCAAAATCAGGAGATAGGACTAGATGATCTTTAAAGTCCTCATGAAATCGAATGCTCTTAAATTCTACAATTCTAGGGTAGAATCCCCGACTTGGAATGACAAATTGGCTTTCAGGGATCCGGAAGATCGCTTATTGGCAGTCCGCAGCAGTGAGGGGGCCCCCAGGGGTGGAGGGCTTGGTGTCACAACCAGCCAGGGGAAGGACCCAGAGTGGGGCTTTTCCCGAAGGTAGGTGGGTGGGCAGCCGGGGCGGGGCGGGGCCAGTCGGCCAAGCTCCTACTGCCGCTCGCTCGGCCCGAGTCCCGCAGCCGGGGGAGAATGGGGCGGTCCCGAGGCTGGGCCGTAGGACGGGGCGGGCCGTGGGCACGGGGCCCGGGCCCCGCCCTCCCTCCGCCCTCCCTCCGCCCTCGCCACCTGAGACAGGTGGAGTCGCCGGAGTGGCTGCCGGAGTCATGTCCCAGAAGAAGCCGGACCTGGAGCTCGAGCCCCCGGCGGAGTCGGCGCCGCGCTGCTCTGTGCACGCCCAGGAGCTGAAATGGTTCTGTAGCGCTGAGCGGCGGCTCGTGTGCGCCGGCTGCAAGGGATCGGGGGGCCCGTGCCGCGAGCACCACGTCCGGAGGGCCGAGGAGCGGGCGGAGGAGCTGCGGGTGAGCGCGTCGGGGAGCGATGGAAGCAGTGGGGCAGTGCGTGGGAGAACCCCCGGGGCTGGGCGCTCCACAGTCCGGCCGGCCAGCCTGGCCACCCCGGAGACAGAGACCGGGGACTTGGTTTCTCCGGAATGTGTTGTGGGGCGCAGGGAGCCTCAGGAGCAGGTGGAGAAGGCTTGAGTAAGCATCGGGCAGGTGGACAGGCTGAGTGTGCAGTGTTGGCTTAGGAGGGCCGGGGCCGGTCCCCTCAGCTCCCGCTCCCCTCAGCGCCCAGCCTAGTGGGTGTCAGTCTCCTGAATTTTCCGCCCCGGCTGGAGCCGGGAAGGGACGACTGTGAGTGCTTGGGGCGGGGAGATGCTGGGGTTGGGCAGAGGTGTAACAGAAGGCCTGGGCGCGGGCAGAGGCTGGGAGTTGGGCAGCTAGCTGAGAGAGTCAGTAACTGGAGAGGGGGTAAGTAGGGACTGGGGGTGGATGGGGGCAGAGCTGTTGGGCCGCTAGCTTGGTTGGAGCTGCTGTTGGTCAGCCTGGGCTCAGGGAGGCAGCAGGGAAAGTTCTTCCAAATGATGCTAAAAAGGACCTGAGGCTGATGTACATGCCAACACCAAACAAGGCAAAAACTGTTCTTCACTTCCACGTAGAGATAGAATTATCCACTGTTGGAAAGGAATTTAGAAATCATCTGTCTTTATCGTTGTTCAGTTGTATCTGATTCTTCATGACCCCATTGAGGGTTTTCTTGGCAAAGATATTTGACTGGTTTGCAATTTCCTTCTCTAGCTCTTTTTACAGATGAGGAAACGGAGGCAAACAAGGTTAAGTGACTTGCCCAGGGTCACATAGCTAAGTGTCTGAGACGAGATTTGAATTCAGGAAGAAGAGTCTTCCTGACTCCAGGCCCTGGCACTGTATCCACTATGCCAAGCTTCCTTTAAGTTCCAACTAAAATTCCACCTTCTACAGAGAAGCCTCCTCTAACCCCTCTTAATCCCAGTGCTTTCTCTCTTAATTTTGTCCTATTTTGCCTGTATGTAGCTTGCTTTGTATATATTCCTTTGCTTGTTGTCTTGCCTGTTAATTGTAAGCTTCCTGAGGGCAGGGATTGTCTTTTACCTCTTTTTGTATCCCTAGCACCTACCTAGGCACCGTGCTTAATGCATGTTTATTGAATTGAATCTAGAGAAGACCAGTCCTCTGATTTTGTACCTGAGGAAAAGGAGGTTCAGAGCTGAGGTGACTCGTCCAGTGTCACACATTGGCAGAGGTAGATTGAAACCTCAGGGTGGTATGATGCAAAGAGATTTCCTGTTGCCTTTGGAGGCTCCTTTATCCTTTTGTGGCTGCCCTGCCTGTTGGTTTTAACTAGATTTCACCTGGATAAACTCAGGTAGGGCAGAGTGTAATTGGTACTGGGCTCCTCCTACCCCTTTAGGGACAGCCACCAGCTTGGTTATAAGGTCAGTGAGAAGTTTGAAGGATCTGGAGGGAGATTATTTTTTTAATCCCTTCCTTTACATTAGCTTTATAGGACCACAACAGGTATCCTCTGGGTCCAGGTAAATCTCTCTGGCTGGTCCTCTCAGGCCTCTGAGTTGCTGGGGCATTAAGGAGGCCCCTTCAGACTGGGCCTGGAAAATAAACCCTGAAAAGGGTTTTTTTGTTCCCTTTTCCACCCACTAGATGACATAGAAACTCAAAGGGGGCCCCAAAGTATGTAGATGGCATCAGAAATTAGCCTCTGGCACTCACCCCTTAACTCATTTGAAACTGTTTCCTAACCTCTGGGGATTTCCTTACAGTTTGTCTAAGTAAGTGTTTTCTTCTATATCCCTAAGTCCAGCCCTAAGGCATAGGGGGCAGTTTCTGGAGGCCCAGGTTAAGTTCCTGCTCAAACAGCTGCTGGGCTAGTGATGGAGGATTGCATGGAATCTGGAAGGGGCTTCAGACCTTCCACCATGCTATTCAGCCTCTGCTGGGAAGACCTCCAAAGACAAGGAGTTCACTCGTTTGGAGGCAGCCCATTCCCTTTACAATCACACCAACACAGGGTTGTCCTGACGAAGATACTTCAGCCATCTTAAAGGGCTTATATTAGTGTGAGCTGTTAATTGTAATAATTGATAGGAAGTTTTTCCTTTTGCAGTTGTCTCCCTCTGAATTCCTCCCTAGCCCCATATTGATCCTCATTTTGCCCTCTGGGGCCAAGCAAAACAAACCTGTTTTCTCTTCTCCAGGATAAGTCCTTCAGAGATTGATTTAATCAGAGGTCAGGGTCCCTGAAGTCCCCTTACCCACTCCAAGGCACTTGTGTGTCAAGGACTCCTTTGGCAGTCTGATGAAGCCTATGGACCCCTCCTCAGAATAATATTTTTTAAATGCACAAAATAAAATACATATGATTACAAAGAAAATCAACATTTGGTGAAAATAAGGATGAATTTTTTTTCCCATCCAAGTTCATGGACTCTGGGGGGTCCATAGACCCCAGGTCAGGAACCCCTATTCTGGAGATAGAGGAAGCATACTTTCTATGTTGGTCCTTCAGAGTCACAATTTGTCACTGGGTTGATTAGAGTTCATAAGCCTTTCAGGGTTTTTTACATTGTTGTGGTCATTGGGTCATTGTATAATTTGTTTTTCTGGTCCTATTTTCTTTGCATCAGTTCATACAGGTTTTCCTGATTTTCTCTGAATTCTCTATATTCATTGGCACAATAATTTTCCATTACATTATTGAATTTCCTCCCCACCTTCAATTGGCAAATGCTTACCCACTTCACTTAATGGCAGTTAATTTAGTTCAAATGGACAAAATTTATCAATTATCTAAAACGTCACAAGATTCCCTATACTATTGAGTTTCAAAGACTGAGGGAGAATAAAAGCAAGTCCCCGACCTAGGAGTTTTTACAGTTTGCAGAGGAGGGGGAGAGGAGCTTTGGAGAAGACATATTTAGATAAGTGTGATACAACCCATAAAGTGATTAGTGTAAAAGGGAGGCTTAATCAAAATGGCCTCCCCTTTATATTGATCACTTTATAGGTTGTAAAGGGGAGGCCTAATCAAAATGGGTGTGGGCAGCTAAGTAGCACATTGGGTAGAGGAAACCAGGAAGAGTCATTTATGAGTTCACATCTGACTTTAGACACTTAGAAGCTGTGTGACCCTGGGCAAGTCACTTAACCCTGTTTGCCCCAGTTTCTCATGTGTAAAATGAGCTGGGGAAGGAAATGGCAAACCACTCCAGTATCTTTGCCAAGAAAACCCCAAGATGCTGTCATGAAGAGTTGGACCCCACTGGAGCAACTCGGCCACAACAATCAAAATGGGAAAGGAGGGGAGAAAAATCTCTTTTAATGGAGAAGGTCTAGTGAAGTTTGATAGTGTCTCTGGAGGAGTTATAACTGAATTGGGCCTTGAAGGAAAAGTTTTCAATGAGTGGAGGTAAGGAGGGAGGGAATGTATTAATGAATATTGGTGGGACAAGGAATCTGGGAATAGTTAGTAGTCCAATTTGCATTGGCAACTAGCATTGTCCAGGGAAGGGACTAAGGAGTTGTGGTCATTGTCTAAGTATGGGCTAGATGGATGTATATATGTGTGTGTATATGTGTGTGTGTGTGTGTGTGTGTGTGTATATATATATATATATACATATATATGTGTGTGTGTGTGTGTGTGTGTATATATATATATATACACACACACATATATATATATACATATATATATACACACACATATATATATATGTATAGGCAGATAGAGCATTTATTTATTACATTCTGATAGAGGAATATTATATATAAAGGGAGGTGGGAAGGGGATAGAGAGGTAGGCCTTTGCAATGGGCCAGTGGGGAAGTGGTGTAGAGGCTGAGCCTTTGCCATATAAGGCAAAAGATGACTTGACCTAGAGGCCCCAAGAGCTGAGTCTGGGTTACCATAGGGAGGTGGTGGTGATGGCTTATAGCATAGGCAGCTGGGAAGTGGCTTGGAGGCCTACCAGATCCCCCCTCCCAAGATAAGGCAAAGTCTGATCTGTTGGAGGAACAGCTTCACTGACAGAAGGTCACCCAGCTTCAGCACAAAGGTTTCCAGTGGATGACAGGAATCTTTCTTCCTTCCTGCTCAATCTTTTTGGACAGATCTGTTGTTGAGCTAAAATCTGATTCCCTCTGCTTTTCCCCCTGGAGCCTCCAGAATTTAAGTCTAATCTCTTCTGCACGTGCTGCTGACTTCTTCGATGTATCTAGATAGTGTTCTTGACCATCTTACATCTCTTCCTTGTCTCTTGTCTTCATATCCTGCCTTGGGCAATTCGCCATCTCATATTGGTCTTCCTTTCTAAGGATGGGGAAGAGGATAAACTTTTATTTTGGGCCTGATGCCTATTGATATTATTAAGCACCTAATTGGTGTAAGTACCAAGAAACTGTAGACCTAAAATAAAAACCGCCCTAGCCTTAGGAAGCTTACTTTTATTGTAGTTGTTAGTGTTGGGGGGGGGGAGACGGGAACGAGGACAGGGGACAGATGACAACAAAAAGACATAAATGTATTTTAACATTTGGGAGTTGTTTGGTATTTTCAGTCATGACCTCATTTAGGGTTTTCTTGGTAAAGATACTGGAGTGGTTTGTCATTTTTTTCTCCTGTTCATTTTACAGATGAGGAAACTGAGGCCAACGGGGTTAAGTGACTCCACCAGGGTTACACAGATAGTAAGAGTCTGAGGTCAGATTTAAACTCAGATCTTTCTGATTCTAGGCCCTGTACGCTATGCACCACTCCACCTAACTGCTCTCAGCTGGGGGTGATGATCTGGGAAAGGCTTCTTCTAAGGGGTGTCACTCGAGCAGAGACGTGAAGGGTGCTTAGGGATCTCTAGAGGTAGAAACAAGAGGGGAGTGCCTTCCATACCAGGAGTTCGGAGCCCGTGCAAGGGTGCCTGGGAAGGAAGTGGAATGTCATATATGAGGAACAGTAAGGAAGCCGGTTTGAAAGGAAAGCAGTGTGTGAGGGGGAGGAGCGTGGAACTGGCCTGCGAAGACTGGTTGGAGCTGGATTGTGAAGGGCTTTGGAGCTCCTGTTTTTTTTCCATGACTAGATTGTAAGTTCCTGAAGGGCGAACAGTGTCTTTGACTTTGGGGCCCACCACAGCACTCAACATAGAAGGTGCTACGCACGGGTCTTGGCAAAACTGATTGGGAAGAGGCTGCAGTCCTTCAGCCTCTTCCATTCCTCCAGGGCTCAGTGCCTTGCTTCCTTCGTTGACTGGCATTTCAACAGAGGTCACTGCTCTGAACTAAAGGGCTAGATTTCATTTGGTGGATGTGCTGCAGGGAGAAAGGATTACAGAAAGGAAGGGAGGTGGGGAGAAGATGGGGCCCAGTCAAGGCTGTCTCCTAAGTAAGGGTTGAATAAACACAGGGGCTGTGGAAGTCTCTGCCCAGGCCCCAGCTGTTGCCTCTTTTTTCAGAACAAGATAGTGGATCAGTGCGAGAAGCTGCAGCTACAGAGTGCTGGCATCACCAAATACATGGCTGAAGTCTTGCCTCGGAAAAACCAGAATGCAGCGGTAACTTCCCTCTCGTTCCCTGACTCCCTTCCCAGGAGTAGACCCTGCGATCCCTGGGCCCAGATCCTGGCTTCTCTGGCCATGAGGAGCCAGAGCCCCTGGGCTTCTCTCTGCTGTCACCCTAATGTAGGTGCCTGGCTCCATTGCTACTGAGCAGATCTGGATGTCCTGGGAAGGACTACTTCCTTCCTGCCATCTCTGAGCCTTGGCTTTCTTTCTCATGTGTTAGAGGAGTCTAGCCTCTAGTTCCATACGGGGGTCAAGAGTCAGTGGCTGTAGAATACCCTGTTTTTCATTATCTTGATGATAGGGTTTCAGATATCAAAAGCATGAATAATTGGAAATCACAGATAATTCCCCCAGACTCATGCATTTTTCTAATGCCTCTTCCCCACAAACCCTTTTTTATGGCATGTGCCTCCCCAAATGACTTCCTCTTTTTTTTACCTTATTCATTGTGTCAAGGTTGCCATAGATTATACACTCTGAATTGCATCCCCAATAGTAAGAACAGTTTGTCAATGAGACAGCTACACTCTGTTCTCTTTCCCCTTCTAAGGGTATACTCTTGTAAGGCAACAGAGAGTAGAATCACTGGATGTTAGAATGGGAAGGAACCTTAGAACATAGAATGTTAGAACGTGGAGGGACTCTAGAAAAGCTGATGGCCAAACCCCTGCATTTATAGATGAGGAAACAGACTCAGAGAGGGCATGCGATTTGTCTGTGGTTACATTATGAGTTCAATAGATAGAACATTTATTAAATACTGGGGATACCTAAGACAGCCCTTCAGAAGCTGACATTCTGATGGAGGAAGACAGTGCATAAAGGGGAAGTGGAAGGGAGTGGGGAGGAAGGATGTCCAGGAGCAGGTGAGTTAGCAGCAGAAGTAGGGCCAGAATCCCGAGTTTCTTTGCACTATAGCAGACTGAGCTGACAGCCGGTCTTTCTGCCCTTGACTTACTGGGAATCCTTTGGGATATGAGAAAACTTTCCTTGACTTCTTTTCTGCCCCATCGTCTCCAGACCATGGCCAGTGGAGCCCGTGAGGTGGTGATCCAGCGGCTGAGTCTGGTTCGGAATGTGTGTGAGAGCGAGGAGCAGCGGCTGCTGGAGCGGGTGCACGCGGAGGAGGAGCGAGCCCACCAGAGCATTCTGACCCAGCGGTCTCACTGGACTGAGGCCTTACAGAAGCTTGGCACCATCCGCACCAACCTAGTGGGCATGCTCACTGATCTCGATGACCACAGCCTTATTGTAAGCTGGGCTGGGGGTGGGGTGGGGTGGGGGCACCGGTGAAGTGGCAGTGGGTTGTCATACAAGTTTACTTCAGTTTATTTAGTGGGGAAGGAGATGTTGTGATGGAAATTTTTGGGGAAATTGAAGTGTACTGTATTGTATAGTAGGGCCTTTTACAGATTGAATGTCATGGAGTGAATAGGGTCATAAATATATAATACCTAGTTTTCTCTCAATTATTGTGTTTGTTTTAGAATGAATGAAAAAGTATTTATTAAGTATGAAATGCCAAGTACTGTGCCACATACAAGAATGAGAATCAATAGATAAAGGCTCAGAAAAAAGCTAGAAAATTTTGGAGATGGCCTCAGACACTGGATACTAGCTGTGTGACCCTAGGCAAGTCACTTAACCCCAATTGCCTCACCAAAAAAAAAATTGGAGAGAGCTTTGTGTTTATTACTTTGTCTACTCAACAGCCCCTGATTTCTCCCCTCCCCCACCCTCACCTCTTTTTAAACCATTCAGAAAAGCATTTTTCCCCCCTAGTTTTATTTCTTTGACCAGGCTTTAGTTGGGACCACCGCAGGGGGCAACTGGCATTTTTTTTTTCTGGCAGTATGTGGATACATGCCTACCCTTTCCTTCTGAAGAAAGGAATATGGCTAAGAACTTTCAGCTTCACTTTTTTTCCTTCTGGAAGGTTCCAGTGGAAGGAGAGACAGGCAGGAAGAAAGAAAGGACCGAGCATAAGTAAAACTTATTTAGACATGAACCTTAGAGGGAAAACATAATAGGGGGATCTCCTGCCCTGAAGTATGGACTAAGGAAGGGGCAGCAGTGAAGGCATCTGACTTGTGCTGCTTCAAATCAGGATTTGAAAGTTTGGGAAATGTCTCCATTAATTAGTTGGTGCAATCATTCAGTAAACAAATGTGAATGAGAGTCTTCCAAGTTTATGGGATTTTTCTGGTGCTGTGGGGAATAGAAATCTGTTTATTCATTCAACAAACATTTTTTTTAAAGTATCTACTGAAGAAAAAGAGCCATGCTAGGTCCTGGAGGAGAAACAAAGTTAAAAACCATTTCCTGTCCTCTTGGAGCCTACCATTCATTAGAATGATAAGACACTAAGATGACTAAAACCCCAAATTATCTGATGAATGCCCAGGAGAGATGCAAAACAAAAAGTTTGAGTTTCGAGAGAGAATGCTATTGATCAAGGGAATTAGGGAAAGATTCTTGGAACAGTAATCAGCTGAGCTGGGCTTGAAAGGGTAGGAGACGTGCAAAATACAGTCTCTGGCCTGGAAGAGCTTAGTCAAGTTGGTGAGACTAGCTACAGGAAAAGATAATGAATAATATAGGGCAATACGTATTAAGTAGTGCAAGTGGGTACAGATAGTGAGTCTTGTAGGAGCTGAAAGAAGGATGAGATCACTGGGCTGGGGGAGGGGGAGGTGGTGGGAAGAAAATGCCTGGAACAAGTGGGACTTCAGGGGGATGGGTAGGAGTCAGTAAGTAGAGAGGAGTGGGAAGGGCATTTGGGGTGGGAGGTGGGGGAAGAGAGCTGCCCGAATAAAGGCCTGCAGGTAGTAAAGGGCAAAGCGTGTTTGGGGGATGGTGAGTTGACCAGTTTGTCTAGAGCAGAGGGGGTTTGCTCCTTTAGGGAAATAGAAAGAGGGAAGGCTGGAAAAGGATGTTGGAGCCAGATTATGAAGAATAAAATCTTATACTGTAGGTAACAGTAGGTCATTAGAGGTCCATTTGACCACTACATCCAGAAGCAGGGGTTAAAGGACTTTGCAGTCCTCCTCTGAAACCTGCTACTTTCTGGTGTCCTTGTCAAGGTTGCTTTTGAGGTCTGAGTTCCGTGACAATTGACAGGCAAATGATTTAGGCAAGGAGAAGGATCGCCAATTTCTTTCTTGCCCCAAACTGGGTTTAATGTATCTAGTTCATGACTAAATGCAGGCTTTTCAATGTCAAGAAAAATATCTAACTTGCTAAGTGCTTTTTCTCTTTACAGCAGTCAGAGCGGGAGATTTTTGAGAGGTGAGTCAATGATCTGTTTCCCAGAACCTGTGTAAACCTGGAGCCAGGCAGGTCAGTGTGGGTCAGTATGTATAGTAGGAAGAATGACCAGTACGAGATCCAGATTGTAGTCTTTGGCTTTGTAACTACTGTGTGTTATACTGGGTAAATCACTTATTTGGCAGCCTCAGGTTTCCCTTCTATAAAACGGGTAAATGAACCAAATGAACCCTAAGGTCCTTTCTAGTTCCTAATCCTATGAAACTGTGAGATAAATGTCAGACTAAATGATCCACTGTAGTCTCTAGTTCTCCAATGCTGTGAGATGGCTCCTTGAGGACACTGGTTTTAGGACAGCTGGGCTTAAATAAGTTTTATGTTGTTTTTACCTTAGAGTCATTCTCAGATAGGGAACCACCCCACCCACTAATCAAATTCACTACCAAATGAGCCCTCTCTGGTAACAAAGAAAGACCACATCCGATCATGTATACAATATTCTATAGTCCCCCCCCCCATCTCTCTGTTATAAGAACGGGAGGGGGGGAACTGCTCCCCAGTCTCTTCTCTGGGGCCAAAATTGTCCTTGGCTCTTTTTCCACACTCTCAGTTCAAGACTCCAGTTGTTGCTTGGGAGATACTTGCTTTTCAGCTTGAGGATTCTAGGCATAACTCGAGTAGAAGTTTATAGTATAGGATGATGATTCTGAGCTCCAGGGGCCCAGCCAAAGACGTGGGACTAAGTATCTATGTGTCCCTTATCCTTGGCATTCTCCTTGCCTTCCTGGGCTGTTTCACACATGGGTTGTTAGGACTGGGCTGAGAAACTCAGGTACTTTCCCCACAACGGCTGCCAGTTTGAATCTGGATACTTTCTTCTGATACCTCAATGTCGTCTATTGGGGGAAGGTGTGGAACAGTAGTAGCTTTCAGAAGTCTTCAAGTGACTTGTTGGAAACTTGCTTGTCAAACTGAGAAGTCTCATCTGCTGAGGGGAGGTGGGGGAGGACAAGTTGATGTCTCTCATTCCCTGACAGGTCTAGATTGTGACCCTGAAACAGTGACATGTCCAGCTATCTGAATTATTCCCACCCACCCGAGCTAAACATAGTAGCCCCCTGTTGTGTCTAGTACCCACCCTTTTCCTCTAGGACTGCATCAGACTGGAGTGAAAGCTTCTCTCCTGAAGGGTTGTGGGCTCTGAAAGGGACTTGAACCAAGGATCTATCCCTGCCCCCACCCTGAACTGGAGGGCCCTGCCCAGGATGGGCAGCTAATTGGAGATGCAGCACTGTTAGGAGGAGACAGTTCCTCTCTTGTCTTTCTTACAAAGAGGCTTTGTTGGCCAGAGACTCAGCAGAAAAGCTAGCTTTGCTCTTATCTAGGGCTCTTGTTGCTTTATTTCTCTTTGGTGTCTTCATTTTCCCATGTGTAATTGTCTTTTTGAAACCAATTTCTTCCAGGCTATTTGAGCTATCATCATTAAACCTTGAGGCCTCTTAAAAGCTAGGGTGACCCTAATTAATTCAACAGACTTTCACTAGGCACCAGCTATGTGCGAGACACTGTTCTAGTAGTGTTGGGGATAGAAAGATATGAAATCCCAGGAGTTTATAATTTAGAATACAAATTAGAATGGAAATGTAATGGAGGAATCCAAAGAAAGGCCTACAAGAAATTTGAGTTCATAGGCTTAAAAGCACCATTGAGTCCTTTCTCACTTCGTGCCGCTCCCACCCCTCAGATGAAAAAACTGAGGCTCAGAGAGGTTAAGTGGCTTGCCAAGGGTCTCTCAGCCGGTTAGTGTTGGAGGTGGGATTCAAACTCACTTCTTTCCAGATACCAAGTCCAGTGTTTTATCTGTTGCATCAAGTTACTTCTCTGAAAGATCACTTCTTCAGACAAGTGGTAAGCTCCTTACTTAGGTGCAGTGATCTATACCCTGGACTCATCTGGGATTGGTGAAGGGGGTTATAAAAATTGGGGAAGGAGGCTGTCAGGATTGGCTGTTCCTAGAGTTCCAGGATGGCAATATGGTGTGGGGCAAAGGACTATGAAATAATCCAAAGTCCACTTCAATGGGGAGTGCCCCTTGAACAAAAACTGTAAGGTCTGAGATCACTTCCATCCTTTGCTTCCAAGTTCTTTCCCCCCTTCCCCCTTATCTACACACATCTTCAAATCTCCTATTCACATAATTCATTAATTTTAGCTAGTCAAGAAAAGTGATCTGCATAAACTAACATGCACCAAGTTATAAAGATCTCATATCTAATCTCGTATTTCACATCTCTCCTTATTGGCCTTGTAACCATTAATGGTAGCAAGCCACATCTTTTAGGTAGCCCTAGCACCTGTGTGTACATATATATTGGTGGTGTGGGTTGCACGTCCTGAGCACCTTAGCCTGATGAAATCATAGGTTTGGAGCAGGCATTCTCAAAACCTATAAAGTTATATCAAGTAGGTGGATGTTGTGAGGTCTAAGGCTATATCACTGGGGTTCCCCTAATGATACTGGAACTGGGAAAGGAAGTTTCCTATTCCTTCCTTCCCTCCTTTGAACTTCTTGGGGATCTGGTAATGGTGATGGTGATCCCCTGAGGATCTCTACCATGGATGAGGATCCCTCTTTGCCTGGAAGGGCCTTGTAGTGCCTGCTTCCTTTTTCTTTTTCTTCCTTTTTCCTATGTTTCAGGCCCTTTGTCCTTTGTAGAACATTCTGGAATTTGCAGAGTGACCTTGTCTGTTTTCTTCCATTAGGACTGAGGAAGCTGAGGGAATCTTGGATCCCCAGGAATCTGAGAAGTTAAATTTTAATCAGAAATGTGTGCGGAGCCCATTACTGACCCAGCTTTGGGCATCAGCTGTTCTCTGCTGCCTCTCAGGTCAGGATTTTGCCAAAGTTAGAGGGCTCAGAACCATTAATAGAAATCAATGTGTTCTATGGTTACTATGTTAAGGAGGATTTTGTGGCTCACTTGCCAGAGGGCTTGGCTTTCCGGGTTTGTAAACCTACATGGCTGGGAGAGGTTGGATATATAAATGGGTCCTTCCCAAACAACTACATTCTTCCCCATCTTTTGTGTTTGGACCCTCCGATGATACTATTCCTGGTCTGGACATATTCGTCCCTCTGCTAACCCTTTGCTTCTGTAGGCCTTGGTCTTAAAAAGTGTCAATGCAAAAGACAGGATAAATTAATATACCTTAAGGAGTTATATGCTGACAGATTTAATATTTCTTCATGGAGTATCAGCATTTTGATAGAGGACTGTGCCTAAATCAGGTAGTCTAGTGAGAACCACCACAGACTGGGAATCATAAAACCTGGGCTCTAGTCTTGGCTCTCCTACTCCCTGACTCAGTGCTTTCAGTTGAGCAACATCACCTCTTAGGCCTTGGTTTCCCCATTTGTAAAATAGGGATTGATCAGTCAATAAACATTTATTAAGCCCCATACTTGGTTCTAGGCACTGTGCTAAGCACTGGGGGTGCAAAGTAAAAAACAAAACAGACTTGCCCTCAAAGAGCTTATATTCTGTCAGGGGAGATATACATCTAAGTAATTAAAATAATATATGTATAAGTAATAATAACAACTGTCCTGTCTACCTCACAGGGTTGTTGGGAGGATCAGATGAATTAAATATAGGGTATCTTTGTTACTATTATTGAGCTTCTGGAGGCTTAGATGGGAACTCTTGTTTGGGAGTTGGTTAGGATTAGGGAACTCAGAGAGCCTGGTAATTTTCCTTAAAAACTACATTTCCAACAGGTACTGAGGACATTCGTGTGGATGAAAGGACCATCAGTCCCTTTCTCCTGCTGTCAGAGGACAGGAGGACCCTCACTTTCAACCCCAAGAAGTCCAAGGCCTATGCAGATGGCCCAGAACGCTTTGACCATTGGCCCAATGCCCTGGCCTCAACCTCCTTCCAGAGTGGGCTTCATGCATGGATGGTGAATGTGGAGAACAGCTGTGCTTATAAGGTGGGAGTGTCCTCAAGCCAACTGCCTCGCAAGGGTTCTGGGAATGATACCCGCCTTGGCTACAATGCCTTCTCCTGGGTGTTCTCCCGCTACGACCAGGAATTTCGGTTCCTGCACTGTGGCCAGCACCAGCCTTTGGCCCTGTTGCGCTGTCCAGACCGCATTGGGGTGTTGTTGGACTTGGCAGCAGGTGAGCTGTTGTTCTATGAGCCCAGCTCAGGTGCCCTCTTGTGTTCCCACCACATCCAGTTTGAGGGCCCTATCTTCCCTGTCTTTGCTGTGGCTGACCAGAACATCTCCATTGTTCAGTGATGGGCTTCTCTCACGATGTTTAAAGGGTTCCCTCCCCCAACCCATCCTCAACATCATGGTGCCAGGTTTTCTACTGTGTATGCCCAGTAGCCATCACCCGAGGGCAAAGAGTGGTGGGAAGATGGAGCTGAGGTGGGTCCTACCTTTCAGGTACTTGGGTGTTGGTGAAGAGCCCACCCTCGCCCCAGTGTGCCACAGGTCTCTTTTCCCTAGCATCTATTTTTAAAGTACCTGATATGGGAGGACAAGGAAAGGTGATAAAGGGAAGTAGTGGAAAGAAAACTGGGCAAGCAGTCAAATGCCTGGGTTCTGGTCTCTGCTCTGCCACTGAGTCATTGTGAGGTGCTGAACAAGTTGTTTGATCTTTTTAGGCATCAGTCTCCTCATCTGTAGGGGTAGATGAGCCGAGGTGATTGTTAGCTCTCACATTGGCAATGGCAATTACTGTTTCTGGTTCCCTTGGCCGTGACGCTTGTGACTGCCAGGCCTGTGTTTATAACCCCTTTTCTTCTGTTCAGGGACTCACCAGGGTCCACTCTCTCACCTTCTGGATGCAGGGTACTCCTCAGACCCCTACATCATAGGCTCAGTTAGGTAGGCTCTCCTACCAGGTGCTAACTTTAGCTGGAGTTCTGGGCCAGTCCTGAGAGTTGCTGGTAGCTGCTGGCTTTTCCCTAACCTGGCCTGATTGATGTCTTCTACCTCCTCCTAACTCAGCGGTACCCATTCTCTAGGGCTAGGGGTTGGGCACATGAATAAGGAGCTTGAGAGGGGAAGGAGAGATGGCAGGGCAGGCTCCTGAGGAGGTGCCTGCCTGTGGGGAACATTTAAATTATTAAAAAGTTTTGGAAAAACAAAATCAAATTGCTGGTTTCTTCTGTCCCTGTCCTTTGCTGGTAACTGAAGACCCCCATGTCCTGACTGTAACCCTTTCCCTCTCTATCTCTGGGAGCTTGTTGAACAATTATTTGTGCTAGAAAACTCATGCTGTCTCCACCCACATTTACGTTGGAAAAGCTGGAAGCGGGCATGATGGAAAAAACACTGGGCCGAGGACCCAGGATGTCTGGGTTCTGGTTGTGCCTTTAATTAGACACATTGCCCTTGAGCATCTTTGTTGGACGCCTAGCCTCAGCTTCTTCATTCAGAAGTGAAGGGAGGAAGGGATGCTGAGGTCCTAGCTGGACCATTCTTTGGTTCCACCATGTTAACATTTGCAAAAACTCAACTACTTATAAATCTTCTAACCTTCATCAATATGACATTATATTTGGCAAAAGAATGTCTTTTTTTTTATGTTGTACAAAAAACTAATTTATCTTTGAGTCTGGGCAGCTAGATGGTGCAGAGGATAGAGCACTTAGCCTGGAGTCCGGAAGACCTGAGTTCAAATGTGACCTCAGACACTTACTAGCTGGGTGACTCTAGGCAAGTCACTTATCTCTGTTTTCCTCATCTGTAAAATGAGCTGGAGAAGAAAATGGCAAAGCACTTCAGTATCTCTGCCAAGAAAACTCCAAATGGGATCATGAAGACTCAGACATACCTGAAAATGATGGAACAACAAAAAATTTATCTTTGTAAATTGTTGCATTTAGTGTAGTGCGTTTAAAGTTTACAAAGCTTTCTACAGCCCTGTGAGCTAAGTAGTACAACTATTATTATTACCTCCTTTTTACAGATAAGGCTCATAGAGATGAAATGATTTGCCCAGTATACCATGGTTAGTGTCAGAGTTGGTATTTGGACTCATGTTTCCTGACTACCAAGTCCAGTGTTCTTTCCACTACAGCTCACTGCCATTCCACTCATCTGAAATGGATGTTAGGCTGTAGGTCACACTGAATGTTTGGCTTCCAAATACTGGGGAGCCTCTGGCAGAACTGAGTTGACAAGAGTCATGTCCTCAGCAGCAAAGAAGTCAAATCTCAGGAAGCCAGAACTATCTGAACAGACTATCCAGGAAGTTGACGTCAGGTGTGGTCAAGCCAGAATAACAGGCTGCCCTTCCCTCCCCGAGGTATCTGTTTCCCTTTACCCTCCTCCTGCTGCCCTCAACTGTAGGGTTCCTTCCCACCCCCAAACTCAAACCCCAGTGGCTCTTTTGTCTCTAAGATCAAGTCTAAACTCAGCCTGGCATTCACTGTCGCCTTCATCTGCCACACTCATTCCTACCTATCCTTTTGAGCCTTATTCTGTTCCTCTTCTTCACCCTACACACCCCTGGTGTCTGCTTAGCCAAATACCACACCTCCATGGGGCTTTCCCTGACCACTCCAGCCCACACAGAGGTTCCCTGTGGAGCTGCTATATACAGTGCTTCTAGGCTCTGGTCCTCATTTACTACTAATCCCAAAGTACTCTGTATTGTGGTCTAACTGTTGGCTGTCCAGGTTTTACCTTCCTAGCTGAAGGTAAGTTCCTAGAGTGAAGACTTATCCCACAGCACTTAGCCTTTGTGTAAGAGGTAAGGTATGAAACATGGCAGTGTAGGGTGAATGACCTTGGACTGGTAGTCAGAAAACCTAGGTTCAAATCCTGGCTTTCCTATCTAATACCTCTAGGGCCTTGGTAACCTGAATCTCAGCTTCCTTACCTGTAAGATGAGAGGTTGGATTAGAGGATCCCCAAATCCTCTCTGGGCCTTGTTTTCTCTCTACAATGGGGTTGGACAAGATCTTTAGAAGAAACTTTAGAAATTTGTTTTAATTATTTAAACTAAATTTAGAAATCTAATCCATAAATTTATTTTTAAAAATAAATATTTTGATGTAGTTTGTTTCCTTATAGATTTAAAAACATTCTGAAAAGGAGGCTATAGTTTTTTAACAGATTGCCAAAGGAGGACCAGGACCCAGGAAAGATTAAGAAATTCTGATGGAAGGAGCAGCTAGGGGGCACAGTGGATAGAGCACCAGCCCTGAAGTCAGGGAGACCTGAGTTCAAATCTGGCCTCAGACCAAACACTTGACACTAGCTGTGTGACCCTGAGCAAGTCACTTAACCCCAACTGCCTAAAAAAAAAAAAAGAAATTTTGATCGAATTCACTCCACACTTATCTATCAGGAGAGAACTGAAGCCCAGAAATGGTATTTTGCCCAAGGTCACACAGTGGCAGAGATGGGATTAGAACCCAGGTCCTCTTGCCTGCAAATCTAGTGTTCTTTCCACCAAACAATAACTGCTTTTGAAACCTTTTCCAGCTCTATAATAAGCAACAAGGAGTCACAATACTTAGCTATGGTATTTGACTTTATGGTAGCCACAGACACCTGCTATTGAGGCTGAAGGGAGAACAGCTCCCACTTTGCCCACGTGGGAAGAAGGAGCCAATGTTTTCAATAGTAGGATTTTGCTGGCTGGGACTTCCCTTGCCTTCTCCCACCTGGTAGGCTCAGCTTGCAGCCCTCACCTTCCCCACCAATCTTCAGTGCTTTGGGTCTGAGCCCTCCAGGAGGTTGAGGGCAGCCAGAAGGTGGGGGAGGGAAGGCAGGATGTGTTCCTTAGGGACAGTTCTTGGAAAGGGGTCCTGAGTCTTGGTACCCATCAGCAGGAAGCTGTGCATGCCCACGTCCCGGGGTGCCTGGTAATCATTCAGGTAATTGTCCCCAACATGGGCTGCCTGGGTGGGTGCTATATCAGCAAGCTGAAGGGCCTGTCGGAAGATTCGTGGATCAGGTTTGGCCCAGCCAGCTGCCTCAGATGTCAGTATGAAATCGAAGTGCTTCCGGAGACCACAGTGAGCCAGGATGTCTTCTAGCCTCCTGTCAAAGTTGGAAACAACACCTAGTCGCAGGCCCCGTTCACGGCACTGCTGCAGAGTGGATTCAGCCCCTTCCAGCATCTGCCAAGTTTTAGCACTGGAGAAGTCCTCATAGAGTTTGTTGGCAATGGGATCGAGGATATTGGAGTTCTGTACTCCTGCCAGGTGGAATGTTTGCAAGACAACATTTAGCCACCATTGTCTTGAGGTGAGGCCTTGGCTTAGTCCATAGTTGGGAAACTTCTGCTTCTGGGCCTTGTATGCTTGACGGAAGGCTGATTCAAGGGCTGCTGCCTCTACCTTTAGCCCATGGGCCTGAGCCTGGGCTGAGTATTCTTCCCCCACTGGAAGTCGGAGTCTAAGCAATGTATCCTTCACATCCCATGTCAGCAGCCGCAGCCTGGGGGCCATTGGCCTAAGAGATGGAAGCCTGGCAAGGAACAGAAAGTTAGATGTAGCCTAACTCTTATTCCTCAGACTCAAGACCCAGGGGACCAAGGTTAAATAGAATGATTCTTGAAGTTGCCCCAACCAATCCCTTTTCCCCTTTTCAGACCTACCAAACCAGGTTCTTGTAGGTGGGAGGCCCTCAGGATAAATTTCTTAATTCAAGTTCTTTTATTATTTGTCAGTTAATTGGGCTTAAAAAAAAACAATCTAAGAGCCAAGTATTTTAATAACTATCAGAAGGGTATTCGAATCAGGTATAGGATTAGCAACAGCCTAGACAAGCACTCATCACCCTTTGCCTGGGGAGCTGGGCCATCTCTTGGGCTAATAAAACTGCCAAGAAACTGTCCACTCCACTAGTTATGGTTAAACAGGGGGTGGTACTCATTACTATCTGGTCCAACCTCATAAATGGTTCTGCTGGCCTGGCCTTCTGCCTAGAGGTCTGATAAATAAACATACCCCAATTCTGCAGCTAGCTTTCACTAGTCCCCACAGATCTGCCCCCAGGAAGGGCAGAGTCCAGTGCCTTCCTTTATTTAGTTACTTGGGCCCCAGGTGTGGAATTTCCAAAGGACTAGGATAAAATCTCAAATCTGGAAGGGGCCTTAAAGATCATTTAGTATAATCAACTGTGTTTATAGATAAGAGAATTGGAGGTGTGAAAAAATTATTCTTAGTAATCGGTACCTTGGAGACTCAGAGCTTCCCCCCACCCAGCCCCTTGCAAAGTTCTTCAGAAGGACATTACTGATAATGACATTACATTGTGTTTTATCCTGGGCAAACTCCAACCCAAGCCGGAATTGATTTAATCTGCTCGTGCTTGGGTGGAGACAGATTCTTCTGCCCAGCTACTCTAGGCTTGGGAGTGGTCTGGTATGGCTGGCCCTCCCCCCCCAGGTGGTCTGATAAAATAGGTATTTCCTCTGTCAGCAGTGATATCAGCCCCTATTGAAAAGGGACAACCCAACGCCTAAACTGAGCCAGTTCAGGACCGTAACTCCCATGTAAGGCATGTCGTCAGCTTGTAAGAAATTAAAAAACGTGGATATAACCTACAAACTCTGTTTTGGGGTTGACAGAGGCAAGGCCGGGGAAGGTTCTTCTTTCAGATAACCCAATGAATAAGGGACAGGGGCCCGGCTAGAAGTCTGGGCTCCAGTGTTTTCCACTACATCAGCCTTGGGAGTTCGTCAAAGGCTGCCACAGGATGGAAGTCCTGCAGACCTGACCTCCCTCCCACCCCTCCTCTGATCTCAAAGCACTCCCCTCCAGAGGTCCGGGGTGGGGGTGGGAGGTGTGAATGCATACGGGCAATCGCCAGGGTGGCTGGGCCTGCAGGCTCCGCTCGGGCTCTGCTGCTGGGGTCGGAAGAAGGTCTTCCAGCTGTACTGGGCACCTGGGAGCCCAACGCGGGGGTAGGAGCGGGGGAGGGAGCAAGTGGGGTCATTAGGCACCTGGGTCCCGATGCCTTTTGCGGAGGCTTCAAAGACCTCCGCAGGGCAGGCAGCGCTAGGGAAAATTAAGAGTCACGATCTGGAGGACAATGGCGGCTCCGAGGATCGCGCGGTTCGCACTCGCATTGTCCCGGGGACGGCGCGGGAAGATCACGACCTTACCTAGAGCTCCGCTCGCCCAGCCTGATGCACAGCGGGGACTGGCAGCGCGCAGGCGCGACTCCCGGGAGGCGGGACGCTGCCTGGACTCCTAATCTCCGAGGGAGGGCGCGGAGCTTCGCTCACCCTCCCCTCCCCGCTTCTTCCTCCCGGAGCGCTCGCCAGCCTCGCAGAGCGGGGTGGCATTGGGGGGCGCTGGGAGCGCGCTGGGCTGCGGGTGTTCTTAGAATCCCAGACCATTAATAACGAGGGCTGAAGCTGCAGGATTCCTTAGAGGGCACTTAGTCCAGCACCCTCTGTTTACTGCTGGAGAAAGAGGCCTACGTAAAGAGCTGGCTTTGGAGCTCAGGGCTCGAGTCAATAATTCAGTTGAGCAACAGTAACAAATATTTGTTAAATATCTTCTGTGTGCCGGGCACTTCGCTAAGAGCTGGAAATACAAAAACAAAAGTAAAACAGCCCCTGCCCTCAAGGAACTTACATTCTAATGGAGGAGACCTTCTAATGGAGGAGACCGCATGTAGGCGTACATATAGATAGGCCTGTAAATATAACTATATGCATAGAATAAACCATGATGCACAACCCACAGCAAATTTATCATATAATTATACCCAATATGTCTATGTATTAGCGCCATATTAAATAACAGGCATAGCTAGATACCTGTTTTTATTTATATATCTCTACTAGGTAGATACAAGGTAGTTTTGGGAGGAGGGACCTCAAATGCTCACCTGAAGCCCTCACTTCTGGTTTTGTTTCCTCTAGTCTTGCCTCCAGTTGCAAACCCTGGAGCTTTGATGCAGTGCCTTCTGATCTGAGATCAGATTTGGGGTGCGATGTCTATGCTGCAAGGTTTGACCCCTCCTTTTATAACTTCAGCCTTGAGTCCATTGTAAGGTTAGTGTGTTGGCCTTTCTTCTGTGGCTTGTAATGAAAGGGTTAGAGTCAGGAGACTTGGACCTTGGGCATGCCACTTCATATTTCAGGACTTTAGTTCCCTTATCTATAAAACAAAAAGAATAGACTAGTCCAGGGGGGTGGGCAGCCTCTAGGTCCTCAAGTGGCCTCGAGGCCGCAGGTGCCCCACCCCTGGACTAAACCAAGATAGAAAGGCCCTTTCTAACTAACATTCTAGTCAATGATTTATTAAGTCTGTGAAGTTCTCAGAAACTGAGCTGTCCCTCCTCCCCCAGTCTTTTGGAAATTCCACAACTGGGCCAAAGGTAGCTAAGGAACTCTGGGCACTGGACTTTGCCCTGACTATTATAAACTGAAGAGATTCCAGTTGGCTACAATCTGCAGCAACACATTTTAATCGCTGAAAACTTAGTTGCATCCAACATACATGTGAGTATGGAAAACATTCAAACATTTTTAGTGATTTTTTGACCCATTCCATATGACATACTTTTTAAAAAGAATATAAAAGAGCACTTCAGTAGAAAAAATATATCAACCAAGTCTGACAACATACACAGTGTTCCACAACTCATAGTTCTTCGCCTCTCCTGTGCCAAGTTTGGTTATTATAATTACATGACTTTCAGTTTCATTTAAAAAAATATTACATTGTTATAGTTGTGTATGTTGTTTTCCTGGTTCTGCTTACTTCAGTCTGTCATTTCATATAAGTAATGCTCCTAAATTCTGCATATTACTTTCTCAGAGTGCATTAGTGTTTCATTACCTATATGTACTATAACTTGTTTAATCATTCCCCAACTGATGGGCATTTACTTTTCTAACAACCATAACTACTGCAGAGCCCTAGGGCCTGGGGTGCTATGGCTTCTCCCTTTCCACTAAGGGGCACTTCTGCTCTGGATTCATGCATGGGGTGACAAAATTTAAACTTCTGTCTATTAAACTGTTTTCTATTTAGATGGGCTACATTGCTTTTTTCTCACATTTTACCTCTTCACACTTCCAACCCAAAGAAAATTACTTAAAATTAGGATTGGCTCGTGTTTGAGGTTTCCTCAAAAGGTGGGAGTATAAAGCTATTTATTTCCTCCACACAAAAGAAATTGTAAACACAAATGACAATCACAAGCACACATGGATAGGGACTTAAAACTGGGTTCAGTAGCATATAACTACTGTTACATCCCCTAGAAGACTGAGACTAAAAGCTATCAATCAGGATATGATGCAATTTTCAGGACCACTGAAGTATTTTATATGCCACCTCAGCTCTTCACTGTCCAAACATTTCCATATAGATCCTCGACTTTGGCAAGCACAGTGTTGGTGGTCATTCTCTGTAATAAAGAAACCCTCTCCACTGCTAAAGGCAGCTCCCACCGAGGTCCCCCGGATCTCCAGACCTCTGGAACTCACACATTTGCTTCCAAGACTTGCATATTCATCTCTGGATGGGCTTTTGGTCACCTATACTAACTCAGAGAAGAAATAAAATAGAAGCAGAATCCAGGGCCCAAGACTCGGGCTCTGGCTCTTAAAAAAAAGGGGGGGGTATTCTATTTTTTCCAACCACCTTTCGGCAAAGCCATGTCTCATCTAACAGCAGAGCAGATGCAAAGTCTATCTTCCCTCCCGGTTTCTCCCCTTCAAATCAGACAGAGCAGTGAAGGGCATTAAGTAGCTAGTCTGCCTTTCTTCAGCCAATCAACTCTCAGCAAAGCAATACCTCTATTCCAATGATCACCCTTTCCAGAAAAATAGCTGCAAAGTCAAACTCTTTTTCACTTTAGTCAGCTTCTATGTTTTGTCTTCTATAAACATTTCCACTCCCATCTTCTGTGACTGACTTATGCTCAGATTCTTTTCCTGATTCTGTCTTCATTGGGTCACAATCTCCTCAGCTCCCAGTGCCTCAAATAAGGTTTCCTTAGGTAACGCATCTAACTTTTTTGTGGTAACTTGAGAATTCCACCTTTTTGTCAGGTATGGCTCCAACAATCCTTATAGAATCACTCCACAGTCCCCAAATAGTTGATTTATAATTTCTCAGTTGTAAACTTCCAGACTTTGAAGACAGTCATATCTGTAAATGGTTGGATGGATCACAGCACCTTGTCTTTTCCTCAGCCAACGAAGGCTCTGTCTTCATACAGGTCCTCTCAGCACCTCTATCTGAAGGGCAGTTTTCTTTCAGACCCTCAGAACTGTCTGTCTCTCTTCAACACTGTATGAGAGACTGTGTCCTCTCAATCTGATTTTATCAAAGTACCTTAAACAAATGTTCTTTTTTCTGAATCTTTTAGCAGCCAGAGCGTTTTCATGTGAAAGGGGTAGAACCTCACCTGTGTATTTTTATATCTGAGGTTATCTTTCCAAAGATATAAGAGGAATGACCGTTAGCCTTTTTTTAAATTGAAACAAGAGAATGTTGTATGTTTTGTTACCGTGTGACTCCTTAAGTCATGTTCAGCTATTTTTCAGTCTTGTCTGACTGTGATCCCATTTGGGTTTTTCTTGGCAAAGAAAGTGGTTTGCTATTTCCCTCTCCAGCTCATTTTTGCAGATAAGGAAACTGAGGCAAACAGGGTTAAGTGACTTGCCCAGGGTCACACAGTAAGTGACTGAGGTCAAATTTGAACTCAGGTCTTCCTCATTCCAGGTGCAGCACTGTATCCACTGGCCACCTAGCTGCCTCTTTACATTGCATTTGCACCAAATAAAAGAAGGCAAGGCAAGGAAAGGAACTGAGTGACAAGAGAGTTTTGTTTCTTCCTGCCTGTCTTACAGAGTGTATTTTAGCTCAAATAGAAGAATTTGTGACAAATTCAGTCTAAATCTGCCAAAACATCCCTCCTTCACACCTTTTACCATTGTGTGTTTAAAACTTCTCATCCCTTTTTATTTTTTCTACTCATTTTTCTCCTTGAACACTTCTTTTATTTTTTCCGGTCTTCATTCTACTTCTTCCTCTTCTTTCATTTACTAAAGTCTTACTGGGAAGCAAAAGACACTTAGGGCCAGAGGTGAATGGACCAAATCCAAGGAGGAGAGAGACTTTAGAAACTGCAGACATGGAGGGCAAGGTAGCTCCTCGCTATTTCTTTGTATTCTTAGAGACTTCAGAGGTTTTCTCCTTGAGTGAGATATGATTTCTCTTGGTTTGAGCTGAGATATCACCTCTCTCAGAAAAGAGCTCACTCATGCATATGTATTTTCATGAGCTTCATTGCTATGCCCTTAGACAACTTTGTGCATCTTACAGAAGTAAGAGAGATGAGTGGCACCAGGTTAGGGGAGGCACATTTCTCTTGGTTTCAGCAACAGGTGCCTCAGGAAAGCACTTTTCAAAGGTTCAGAACAGATTAGGAGAATTTAGAACCACAACTTCTTTTCCCCAAATCTTCCTCTTAGGAGCAAGGGATCATTGTGGGTTAAAATAGTCTCAAACACTTACTGCAATTCCTCAACTGTAAAATGAGCTGGAGAAGGAAATGGAAAACCGCTCCCAGTATCTTTGCTAAGAAAACCGCGAATGGGGTCACCAAGAGTCAGAAGAGTCACAGCTGAAATGACTAAACAACAGGCTGAGAGTTTGGGGGTTAGGGACGGAGAAAGAACCCTAGCAATTTGAGAGCAAAATGAGATGGTTGTTACGAGGAATGAAGATGCATTGACAAGATCAATGTAATTCCCTGAGGACAGGGATAATTTTTCATTTTTTTTTTCTCTGTATCACACTCAGTAAAGTCCCTTGCACAGAGCAGGCACTCCATAAGTATGTGTTAGGTGTTTCTATGAGAAACATGTTTTTCATTGGCCCCTAAAAATTACTCAAAAGCAGACGGCTTTAATAGGAACATTTGGTCATACATCACACCTGGGAAGCCCTGTAGTGCTCAATACAATCAGAATAATATTATCTGGAGAATCTCACCATTTGTAAGGAATCCCTATTATATTTGGACTTTCACAGGACAGCCTTAATAAGAGCAGGGAATACCTTTGCTGAGCATCCATCTCTTTGGTTTATGCCTCTCTTGATGTTGATAATAAGAGAATCATGGAGCACAGTTATCATTTTGGTCACTTCTATCAAAAATTCTTCAGTTCAATAGAACTCAGTTTAGTTCTACAAGCATTTTATCAAAAGATGCTAAGGACAGATATTTCTATTTATTTATTTATTTATTTATTCATTCATTCATTCATTCATTCATTCATTCATTCATTCATTTATTTATTTTCAGATATTTTTAAATGGCAAAAACTGGTTCAATCTAGAGGAGTTTGCTTCCTAGTGGAAGTGATATAACATTTATGTTTAAGAATAAACAAGGTAGGGACTGATAAGGGCAAAGGATAGAACATACAAGGTGTGCTAGGAATAGCTAGGGGAAAAGAACACAATCAGTTTTGGGGATGAGTCAGGGAAAGCTAAGTAGAGGAAGTGGCCATCTGAGCTCACCTTTG